ATATTCTCCACAGTTTTTATTTTTTCCTCTCCTGTGCATCTCAAATAAAATATGTTAGACGTAAAAGTGACAAATTATTACATTTTGTAATAGTCAATGTGTTGTGTAGAAACAAGAGCCCCGACAAATACTCTGTGTTGCTCCTTTGATGAAAAACTTGCATGTCTGTTTTGCTTTTTGTTTACGCCAGAGTTTAACGACCTGGTTCCTGCAAATAGTATCATAAACTTTTTCAAATTTTCGCATCCACTCCAAATGTTGATGGTAAAAATATGTAGATGGAACACGGCAGGTGGGAGCTTCATGTCGACAAACATTTGAATACAATACAACAATTCAAAATGGCAATATAAATATATAACTGACAGCAAATTCGTTCAATTGTGTGTATATATATACAGTATATATATATATATATATACAGTATATATATATATATATATATATATATATATATATATATATATATATATATATATATATATATATATATATATATATATATATATATATACAAGTAAATCACTGTAGGTGCGCGTGATCCAAGTATATGCTGATAACCACAAGGAAACAAATAAACAAGAAGTTCGATAGAGTCCCTCATGAGAGATTGATAAGGAAGGTAGAAGCACATGGAATAGGTGGATCAGTATTAAAATGGATTAGGTCATGGTTAACTGGTAGGAAACAAAGAGTCAGCATAAATGGATTAAAGTCAGACTGGGGTGCGGTCAAAAGCGGAGTTCCCCAGGGATCTGTATTAGGCCCTCTGCTGTTTGTTTTATTCATTAATGATCTTGATTTAGGCATAACTAGTAGGATTAGTAAATTTGCAGATGATACCAAAATGGGGAGAGTGATAAATTCAGACAGTGACTTTGAACACCTTCAAAGAGATCTAGATACCTTACATGAGTGGTCAGTAGACTGGCAAATGAATTTTAATACTGATAAATGCAAGGTACTACAGATAGGGAAGACGAATATAAACGTTAAGTATAAACTAGGTAACACGGAAATAGAAAACTCCTGCCAGAAAAGATCTAGGTGTATTTGTTAGCAACGACTTGAAACCCAGAAAACATCGGCTAGCGTTCGCAACAAGGCAAACAGGATTCTTGGTTCATATCTAGGTCTGTGAGTAACAGAACTGTTGACGTTATCTTGAAACTTTACCTAGCATTAGTGAGGCCACACATGGATTATGCGGTTCAGTCAGGTTCCTGAAGAGAATGGACATAGATTCTTTGGAGAGAGTACAAAGAAGAATGACAAAATGATCCATAATATTAGAAACCCATATGAAGAAAGACTGAAAGCTTAGGCTTACATTCATTAGAGAGGCGCGTAGAGTTAGGAGATATGATGAGGTGTACAAGTGGGTAAGTGGGATTAACAAGGTAAAATGGAAGATGTTCTGAAGTTCAGTAATAACGAAATAATTCAGGAACAAAATGGCTTTTAAATTAGATAAATTCCGATTCAGAAGGATATAGGCAAGCACTGGTTTGGTAATAGAGTTGTGGATATGTGGAATAGGCTACCGAGTGCTATAGTAGATCGGGAGATTTAAGACGAAGCTGGATAGGCACATGGAAGTGCTGGGATGGTGTGAAAGGATCTGCCCTGTATGGGCCAGTCGGCCTCCTGCAGTATCCCACTTTCTTATAAGTGTTCTTATGTTCACAGCTTTCGTGTAATTCACATCTTCAGGGATCTGTATCACCCCTGAAGATGTGAATTACACGAAAGCGCATGGGAACTTCTGTAAGTTGTATATATATATATATATATATATATATATATATATATATATATATATATATATAAATATATATATATATATATATATATATATATATATAAATATATATATATATAAATATATATATATATATATATATATATATATATATATATATATATATATATAAACGTGTGACACAGTAAACGAGGGTGAGGGAGGTGTAAACTGGTGCTTTTGGTGACGTACAGTTGGGTCGTTACAGCCTCCAGTATTCAGGCTTAGCAATTTCATGCTGTCATGTTGAAAATCCCGATAAGTTAAATTTAATATAATTTGCGTTTCCCAAATATGATTTTTCCAAAATCAAAATGTAGCGAATTTCCCAAACCTACTACATCAGAAAACTTATTTTGAACATATATATATATATGCAAATAAATCACTGTAGGTGCACGTGATCCAGGTATATGCTGATAACCACAAGGAAAAAGAAAACACGAAGTTCCCAAGCGCTTTCGTGTAATTCACATCTTCAGGGGTGAGTACAGACTGTAGGAATTAAAATCAATAAACCTTAGTGATGGTCAGCTCAAAAGTGATAATATGTTACATAAATTTATTTGTCAGTGGCCCAAGGTTAAAAATGCTTTGAAAATCTTTGATCTAGATGTATGATAGTTATTTTGTGGGTCCCTTATTTTTGACCTGACCTGACTAGTCACGTCACCCCCCCTTCTCTTAAGCTCCTCTACGTGTGTGTTGGTGTGGGGATTAGTGGATGACATCATTATGACCTGACCTCATGTTTTTAAGGTCACCCTGTATATTTAAGCCTCTCGCTGTCCATGTAATCCAGTTGCCTCTGAAGATGTCTTGAATAAAGACGAAAGCTAAGGTTGGTTGGCCTGTGCATGGCAGCTCCTGTCGAGAGTTACTACCGCTCTCTATCATCCATGAATCTATCTAGCCTCCTTTTGAAACTTTCCAGAGTTCCCGCACTTACTACAAAGTTGCTAAGCTTGTTCCACTCGTCCACCACCCTATTTGTGAACCAGTTCCTTCCTATCTCCCTCCTAAACCTAAACTTATCTAACTTGAATCCGTTGCTCCGAGTCCTATCCTGCTCGGATATTATAAGAACTTTATCTATATCCCTTTATATATATCTTCGCTAGTTTATACAATGGTGAACTATGTTAATATGCCCTTCATTGTGAACCAATAAGCATTATTAAATTTAATTAATTTCAAAGTAATTATTGTAGGTGTTACATTCAATGTCACCCGGTGGTGGTGATGTGTGGCCGTGGTGTTGTTATGATCAATACTTTGGGGAGAATGACAGACTTCGTCACACACACTACGTGTAAACTACTTGTGAATCTGTGTTATGATTCTGTCCTCTAAAACCTGGTATTGATCACGGCTATTGACTTCATCCTTGTTTCACTTTAATTGTTTTGGTTCAGACAATAAATCCATTAAGAACGGCTGTTGGTTTCATTAATTAGAGAAGGTCAGGTTATCTCACCTGGCGGGGAATTCCTTCATCTGTTCTCTATAAATTGATGAAAGTCATTTATCACTCCTAATTTCCCCAGAGACCAACAACCTGCAGAAAAGGAATATAATTATAGCTTTTGTTTTTTCATTATTATTATATTAAGTTGTCGCTTTTTTTTAATCTAAATACGGAAAAAGAGTGTACTTAAAATATATTGTTTTAATTTGAGCTGTCTCCCCCCCCCCCACCACACACACATACACCAGGTATCATCATCATACAGAAACAAAATATGTATATAACTCGGTATGACAACTGCTTAATCTCGGGTTGAGAAAACGTTAACTGTGATTGTTATTGGAAATTCGATTGTAAGCTAGACAGCATAACCTTATGTGATTAGAACATTCAATTTCAATTGTTTATTCCTTGATAGAGGAAGCGGGATCCTAGTGCTGTCACTAGGTACCCCTGTACAATGACACCAGAATCATCTGGCAAGTGTGAAAAGTATATACAGTATAAATATTATAAAGAGGCTTACTAAAGCCTAAGGAAGGAAGGATATTCCTTTAACACATAATCAATATTATTTACAAAATATCTGGCCAGTATTGGGAGGATCATCGTGTCTCCGTCAGGGGGTCGTGGAGTGGTGGTCCAGCAGGCGTCACGGAAGCGTTGTGTGGGGACATCTTAGGAGGTAGTGAATAAGGGTGCGGCTGTCGGGTCTTCTGCATAACACACATTTAACCTATAACAAACATTGCCAAATTGTAATTTAACCTACTCAAGCATCAACTTCATTTATCTGTAATTTCACAAAACCACACCGAGCTAAAATTTAACTTTTACCTGACTTAGCTTACCTAACGTAATTTAAAGTTTAACCTCAAGTAACTTCAGTTTAACTTCAACGTACCGATACTTAATTATAACTGAATCTAACTTAAATTTTAACTATTTCAACCAAACTTAAGAACTAGCCACCTTCCCTCCTTCTGTGAGCTGTGAGGTTAATAAAAGGAATATTCCCATCACAGAGCGAGGTCAGGTCAGGTCAATTCACAGTGTCTGATAAGGTCACGACAGCCGCAGCATGACTGGCATTAAAATTCTCCCTCACGTTTGTAATGTCAAGGCAATATCAGCCATTATTGATGAATTAAATTAGTGTATCGGTCTGTCTTGGGATCAGGGAGGAGAACAGACATAATAGGTCTGTCTGTCTGTAGTTATCCCAGACACTGTTGCCTACTGTCTGCAACAATGGTTAGGTTAGGTTTGGTTCCATGCATTTTGTCTGTTTGTTTTGTATTTTTATGTATTTTTTCCCACACTTTGTTGTCCATCGCTGTTGTTATTTCCCACTTCATTGAGGGTTGTCTATTCTTTGGTTGAATCCTTACACAAGATTGAGAGAGGGTTATAAGATGGTGGATTGATAAGTAATGTATTCTCCTTGCTTCTTATCTTTTAGTTGTTCACTCCTTTTATTCGTTCTCCTTGTTCCTCTCTCCTTATATTCGTTCTCTTTGTTCCTCTCTCCTTATATTCACTCTCTTTGTTCCTCTCTCCTTATATTCACTCTCTTTGTTCCTCTCTCCTTATATTCACTCTCTGTGTTCCTCTCTCCTTATATTCGTTCTCCTTGTTCCTCTATCCTTATATTCATTCTCCTTGTTCCTCTCTTCTTACATTTATTCCCCCTGCTGTCTTTCCTCTCTAAACTTACTCTCTTGGTGACAGGACGACGACCCCCACAACAACGACGGAAGAGCCTGGGTGGCGAGAGAAACAAGAAGTGTTGTTACGCCTCAATGATACGGTCATCTCGCCCTCCGCAAATAACCGCACCCCGGATACCATTTGGCTCTTCTTCAACCGCATCCCGCGTACTGGAGGGCAGACGTTGGTGTCCCTGATGAAGTCCCTGTCAGCGGACCTCGATTACCAGCACCAGGAGCACGTCTACAGGACGCCTTGGCAGAGGTGAGGGAGATACAACTGTAGCACTCCACCTCAAAAAGTACTAAACTGTACTGTATGTAAAAAGTAGATCTTAGGTGTAGATTCTCATAGATTTGTTTGGTCGAGGTTTCCTTTGCCTAGAATTGTGTTGTTGGAATATTTTTAATGATGTGTTATCTTAGATATGTTTTTACTTTCTTTCTTTGTTTCTTTTCCTCCTAATTGTTGTCCTCTTAATCTCACCTTTTTCTTTTGCCTCACCAGTCCTCACTATTGTCCTTTTCTCCACAGACTGATGAGTGAAGACGAGCAGAAGAATTTAGCTACCTGGTTTGAGTACAACTTTTGGCCCAAGAGTTATGATCGCTTCTCCCTCTACATCAACTTCACTCAACACAGGAGGTTAGTTAGCCTTGAGACCATCCCTTGAGTTAGTTCTTAATTATAAACAGTACAGAACACACACACACACACACACACACACACACACACACACACACACACACACCTGGTTTACTGTGGAATTGTAGACGTTTCCATGTTTATAATGTGTTCCTTGTGTGAGCATAGTTAATTCTCGTACCTCCCACCACAGCCAGTATGTGACCCTCCGACCAGCTTACATCACAGTGGTGAGGGACCCGGTGGAGAAGTATATCTCTTACTTCCGGTTCAAGCGTGTGGACCATGAGAGGGTGAAGCTGGAGATGGCGGTCAAGGAGAAGCAGAGACCAGGGAGTGGTGAGTGGCGTGGAGGGAGGAAGTGGAAAGGGAGATATATGGAAGGGAAGGTGGTAAGTGGAAGGGTAAAGGAAGAGGATAAGTGGACGGGTAAAGGAAGGGAAGAGGGTAAGTGGAAGGGTAAAGAAAGGGAAGAGGGTAAGTGGAAGGGTAAATGAAGGGAAAAGGGTAAGTGGACGGGAAGAGAAAGGTGGAATACCCAAGAAATACTTGACTAAAATTGATATGTATGAAAGGAACTTACCCAAATATCATCTCAGATTTAACTGGGTAATAGCCACAGTCCTTTATATTATGAGTAATTTACTGCCTTAACAATCTCCTAAACATTTATTATCAACTATTATTCTCTCTTATTTTAATAGTTATTGTAACAGATGTATTATTATTATTATTATTATGTTCAATACTGATTATGAGGGACTGTGTGGTAGGTCGGACGTGGTATTGGAAGAAATTGGAGGAGTGTGTGTCAGGGGACGACCCGGAGTGTGACTTTAGCCCAGGCAGTCGCAGCTTTTCCTCTGCTGTCCCATTCTTCTGCGGCCAATACGAACAGTGCCTGTGAGTTCTCGCCCATATGGATTTTCTTGTTATATAACTTCTTTTTCAGTTCATTGTTCATTTTGTCTCTATAAAGTAATTTTAGGATCCATGTTTACTCCTATAAAGTGACTAGTAATTTTTTTGTTTATTAAGTTTCTGGTAGAGTATGTATGTTTTTTAACCACTCTTCTCAGTTTCTTTATGGTTCAAGCCTCATTATAGGCCTCCCTGGACATGCTGATGAAGGATCTGGGGTCAAAAGTTGGAATTGGGGTAATTACTTGTCATAACGGCTCTTGGAGAAGATGCATAAACACTACAATGCGACTTACACCAAACCTGTATTTATTTCTGTGTAATCTTTGTTTCCTCTTTTATAACATGGAGGTGATCCCACACATGTCCTGTTTGTGTCCTCCCTGGTATAGGAAGCTGGGTGACCCATGGGCGCTGCAGAAGGCGAAGTACCAGGCGGAGTACGATTACTCAGTAGTGGGCCTGGCGGAGGAGTGGAACACGACCTTGGCTGTCCTGGAGGAGTACCTACCCATGTTCTTCCAGGGCGCCCGTCAGCGTTACTGGAGCCAGGGTAAGATGATATTGTCTTTAGGGTAAGTGGTAGGGTTGACACTGTTATAGTGACGTGTGTAGTGCTTTAGGTAAGTTGCAAATGCTGGAGGTAAAGTGGTAATGTTGAGTTAAGCATTAGTGCTGTATTAAAATAGTTTTGCTGTATGTAAGTGGGTAGTGGTATAAAGTGGGAGAACTGCTAAAGTGGTAGTGTTTTATTATTATTGGCAATACTGTAGTTGAAATGGCAGTATTGTAGGACAGATAGTAATATTACAAGGCAAGTGGTAGTGTTGCAAGTCAATTGGTAGTCTTTCGGGGCTAGTGGCAGTGTTGCAATGCAAGCATTAGTGTTGTAGATAAAGTGGCAATGTTGTAGGGCAATTGATTTTGCTGCTAGGCAAGTTGCAATGTTGTATCACTACATTCACAACAAATAACACTAAATATTGTCCATTAACATTATCACTTCATCTATAGCACTGCCACCAGTGCTACAACACCACCGCATCACCCGTAGAGCAGCAGTACTGTACTGTAGGGAGGTGAGCAACTCTTCTCTCCTCTCCATCAGAGTTCGAAGCAGAGCGGCAGGTGAACAAGAACCCAAAGAAGTACTCGGAGGTGCCAGAGAAGATCATCAAACTGCTGAAGGAGAGGATGGGTCCAGAGTATGAGCTCTACGAGTTCCTGCGTCAACGTCTTCACCTGCAGTATAAGCACATTGCCAGCAGGCTGGCTGCCCCAACCACCGCCTTCACCACCACATCTAATGTTCCCCGTTTTGCCATCTGGGACAGAATGGATATTGAATTCAGTAATTAGGAGGTCTGACCGCCTTCACATCAGTACGATTCTACAAATATTTGTTTATTTGTGTTATTATTTCTACTACTAATAAAAGGACGTGTCTGATGGTCTGTCTGTCTGTCTGTTCCAGTCGTAGCTTCAAAATGGAAGTGGTTAGACACCTGAAACTTTACACACATATTACATGGGTCCCAAGGTTGTGTATGCATCTTGGTATTATTAATAACCATGTGTCTGCTCCCCATATACACCCACCCTTCCCTTTTATACACACTATCCCACCTATATAAAGCAACACTCTCTCACTCCCATCCTCCCCTAGACAAAACTAAAATAATTGCTATACAATATCTTACAACCAATATAAAGAAAGTAAAGTTGTCCCCCCGTCTATTATTTCCGTTTTCTTTAATGGAAACAGGACGCGGATGTAAATAAACAGTTCATGAATGACTTTGAATAAGGTTAAAGGTGTTATTATAGTATTGAAGAGATCAACCGAATATTACTTTAATTATATGGCTAATAATAACAATAGTACAGAACATTTGCGCGGGAACATCAGAGAAGAAAAGTGACTTGGAATTGTTTGATAAGATAAAATACGCGAGATTCGGTTGATAATACTAATGATAATAATACGTGTTATTATTATTATTAAGAGACGTCTGCCACCACGAAGTTGTACATGTTAAATACCACACACTCGGTGTGGTTGCACATGTTAATACCACACACTCGGTGTGGTTGCACATGTTAAATACCACACACTACATGTGGTAGCACATGTTAAATACCACACACTACATGTTAAAGGCAGGTTCAGTTGTGTGTGTGTGTGTCAGGACCAAGCTGCTGCAGATATATTAGTTCGTTGCACAATAATGCCAGTGGTATAATTCCCTGATCAGTCTGCCAGGCACTAAATGACGATACATTATTCTTAATAAAGTCCAGAACCTTGATGTTTGTGCACCAAATTATCCTCGTGAGCAGAAATATAAATGGTACATTGTATACATTCTGCGTTGTTTATGTCTTGTTTCAGTGAATATTGTTCTATTCTCTTAAGTTTTATCCACATGCAGTACTTAGAAAAGGTGAAGGAAAAGAATACATTACAGGACACTATTAAGATAAGTACAGAAGGATTGATTAGTACAGTACATTATATGAACGCCCAGGTAAGCTGAACTAAAATACGAAAAGTGTACCACATCCAGGTAGGAATTTAAATGATTTTATCACTGATGTACAGTTGCCTGCACTTATACCTACGTGGTTCAGTGGCTGAATTCTGGGTTGTAGGTTGAGATTACATTGTTTTTCAAGTTGGGATGTTAATGTATTATTGCTTGGGGCTGTACTGCGCATGTTTCTTTCCCAACAACCTTAATGGGATGAATATACAGTATCTTCCTTTATTTACAGCACAAGCCAAGTAGAATGAGTATTTCTCCCGGCTTTTTTCTCTGGTTTCACTTAACTTTTCCACCCAGCTTGATTGCAGTTGTCAACTATCACAAAGTTTAAAGTTTATCTCCACAATCGTAGTAGGAAGTGTTAGCAAGCTGTATGTGTATGTGTGTGTGTGTGTGTGTGTGTGTGTGTGTGTGTGTGTGTGTGTGTGTGGTGTGTGTGTGTGTGTGTGTGGTGTGTGTGTGTGTGTGTGTGTGTGTGTGTGTGTGTGTGATTCTTATCAGAACATTCAAACATGTAATGTATTTCGGCCTTATCTACCCTGAATTATATATATTTTCAAGACTGAAAGCTGAAACTTAGTCTCCTTTTATTACTGCTTTCTACTTTTTGTGGACATCATGAAGATTAAGTCTACTTGCCCGCTGCTTTTGATGTTTTCTTAACTTATATTTATCTACCACCTAAGTCCCTTATTTATGTTATTTCATGTACTGTACAACATGGTATTGCCTCTTCTTTTATTTAAGGAACATCATTGTTCGTCAATAAATAAATATATAAATGTATAAGCAGACAATCATGTATATTTATCAATGGCTGCTAAGAATGAAAATGTATATGGCTTATGACAGGAGTCTACGCTAAAGACAAGCTCAGTCTCCAGACAACAACACGTTTTCTATGATAAACTTTATGGTTAAATTAAATCGAGAGATGGCGCAGCAGTCAGGGGCTAAACGTTAATTGAATGTAGTACAAGTTTCTCGATATATTCCTTCCTTGTTATAACACACCATTGTGACGTCACCATCAAGCCATTTGCCTGAGTGAGCCGTGAGGGAAGGACGTCTGATGACGAGCTGTTATGTGGTGACCAAATGTTTAGTATTTTTATATTAAGTTATTTAAACACAAGCTTATGTTGCTACTGTCCTCTGTGGTGAGTAAATTGTTGGTATTTTTATTTTCATAATTAAGTGACGTGATGTTAGAGAGTTGGTTAACCACCATGGCCCATGGTAGTTGTCAACCCAACAAGTAGTTATTGAGAGTTTTATTCCGCCATCAAGCGGAAATTTAGGTGAAGATGTTTTATGAAAAGTTAGTTTCAAAGATAAACTCCGTCATTTTATATATTATGCTGCCTTGGTATTGTTGTAGTTTACATTGGTGTTTGTAGTAAGAAATAATTCGTTACCGTCGACGATTTGGTGAATTTAAAAAAAAATAATAGGGTTAATATTCGTTTTTATCCAAATAGGTATTTCAGATTTTGGTTAATATATAGGACTAACCCGCCAGGGCTGCATAGCGCCGATGAGGCCGTATCATCTCACGTCCAGAAAATTCATCAAATTTCACCATATTATAGTAAATTCTTTCTGTTTAATATACCGGGGAAGTTAGGTAAAGGTTGGTAGGTTTGTTTGATTTGGTTGGTTGGTTAGGTCTGTTCTTCTTAACCACAAATATTAAGTAGCGTTTATTTTAAAAATATTTATTTTTAACATTTTCACAAACTACAGCAGTGTCCACTATAATACCCTAACCTAACCTAACCAAAATACACCAGAAAAATATATTATACCAATTGGGAAAATTGGGATAAAACGAATTTAACCATTAATAGTGAGCTGAGTGAAGGTTTATACCAGAAATAATTAATGGAATTGAACCAAAATTTCTGGAGATAATATTTATATGATACCGAACACGAAAATGGAAGTGAGAATGCACATAACTAATTAGAACCTGACCTGACCTAACCTACCTTTCAAACCTGTGCATTGTCGTTTAAATTTACGTTAATACTGCAGCAGGCGGGTAACACCAGAAGGAGTTGTTCGGTTTTGTTTTTCCTTAGAAGATCTTTGAATGATAGTAAGTAATAAAACCATACAAGAACTTTTTATGGTGCTACCTAAACCTAACCTGACCTAATATAACCCAACCAAACCCGACCTAATCCAACCTAACCCAACATGACCTATTCTAACCCTACCTAACCTAGCCTAAACATCTTGTAACCTTCACGCTATAGTAGCACCCTTTTTATTTTAATTATAAGTACATTGTTTATATTTTTTAGTTTTTCTCTACAATAATAAATCACCTGTAGTGTGCAGGGCATGAAGGGTGAGGGAAATTGCAGGGTAAAAGAGTGATAACTGATCATTTAACACTACAATGATGTCTGTACATGCTTTGTACGTGAAGAAATTAATTATTTACTGTAAATAAGCCACAGAAAAATCTGCTTTTGGGTGCCTGTTGTCATCTGCTCCTTGTTTCAGTGCAGCACCCGATCTGCTCTTTACTTTGCTTTTATCCTCTTCGCCACTGATTGGCTCGTTAGCTGCTTGGACGGTCGGTCACGTCTCTGTTATGCACTGTTGGCTAGTACTGGGCATGCACTTGCTCCCGAATATATCGGAACCTGCTCCAGTGATGGTCAAGTCTGGTCTTGAATGATCTCAAACTCGGTGCCGCCACAACGCTCTGGCAGATTGCTCCAAGAGTTCACAATTCTCACTCCCCAAAAAGTTCGCCCTCACAGTTTTCTGGCTTCTTCAGCCTTGAGCTGTGACCCCTTGTGGGGTGGATGTTTGCCAGCTCCAGGTATGTACAGTTGACTGAGTAGGTCGCCCCTTGCCCGTCTGTAGTATAAGAACATAAGAACATAAGAAAATAAGGAGTCTGCAATAGGCCGGTTGGCTTGTGCATGGCAGCTCCTGTCGAGAGTTACTACCACTCTCTATCATCCATGAATCTATCTAGCCTCCTTTTGAAACTTTCCAGAGTTCCCGCACTTACTACAAAGCTGCTAAGCTTGTTCCACTCGTCCACCCCCCTATTTGTGAACCAGTTTCTTCCTATCTCCCACCTAAACTTATCCAACTTGAATCCGTTGCTCCGAGTCCTACCCTGTTCGGATATTATTAGAACTTTATCTATGTCCCCTTTATTGATTCCTTTCACCCACTTAAATACTTCTTTCATATCTCCCCGCACTCTTCATCTTTCTAGGGAATGCAAGTTAAGTTTCTTTAACCTATCCTGATATGGAAGGTTTCTAAGTCCCGGAATCATTTTTGTCATTCTTCGCTGCACCGACTCTAGTGAATTTATATCCATTCTATAATAGGGGCACCAGAACTGAACCGCATAATCGAGGTGCGGCCTGACTAGCGCAAGGTATAGTTGCAATAAGATCTCTGCACTCTTGTTACTTACACTTCTAGATATAAAACCCAATACTCTGTTTGCCTTATTTCGAACATTAACGCACTGTTTTCTAGGCCGTAGGTCCGGGCTTACAAGTACCCCTAGGTCTCTCACAAGTCGACTTCTCTAGGTTGATGTTGTTAAGGCTGTATACATTATAAGTATTTGTTCTTCCAATATTAAGTACGCTGCACTTGCTGCTGTTGAATTTCATTTGCCATTTTTCAGACCACCCCTGCAGTTTATTTAGATCCTCCTGTAATGCATTTGCATCCTGCCCTGAATTAATTTGCCGCCCTATTTTGGTGTCATCCGCAAACTTGCTTATGTCACTGCTGATCCCAGTATCTAGATCGTTTATGTAGATTATGAACAAGAGTGGGCCTAGTACTGACCCCTGGGGAACCCCACTGGTTACACGGCCCCACTCAGATTTAACACCATCTACGCTGACCCTCT